TCCCTATGAAGGTACTTCTTTTGAATAAGTCATTACTTTGCGACCGTTAAAAAAGTACATTCTATATAGTATGAATGTGTGTAGTATGAGCTTAATCTGGACACACTACACCATTTTGACATTGTCATGTGACCTACAAGCATCAGATGCATTGCTTCACTGCTATTCACAAATCCTCTTCCATGGCCTCATGGGATATTAAAGTGTCCATTATATGTGCACTTCAGAATCTCATCGGAAGTATATAACTTTTCGGCTACTGTTTTAAGAATGACTTTTGGACATACTCTTCACATGCTGTTTTTCACCTGTATAGTAGGGAAGTATGCCATTTCAAATGCAGCCTACAACATACCTGCAGCACATATCTGCAGAATAATCTGGAATGAATCTCAGCTGTGATTTTTAATTAATCTTTCTTGACTTATTATTTGATCATGCTGCCAAGTGTACCCATTTTGACCAAATCTTGGATTATAAAAATCAGAAAATTCCTAAAATATTCATTACCAAGATGATAACAGAATAAAGCACAAAGTCATATGAATTATTTACCCTAGCATATAAAGATATTTCTGTCAGATGGAAAATTCAGAGTCTTTCTGTTTGCTCTGTGAATCTGAGCGCAGCCTTTTGCGTCGTGTCGAATGATTTCATGAGTGATGTTTTGTCCAGTGAATGGTAACCAAGACCGAACCCTATGGCCTCAGCCTCATGGACCGCCCGCAGTCTAGTCCAGCTTGGCTTTGCACAGAGACTAAACGAACCCTGATTAGACAGACAACAAATTTGAACAAGCTTTATTAAATTCACATATTGGTCTCTAGTGTGGGCTAAACAGTGTGGTCTACATAGGATAGCGGGATAATCTACCATGTTAAATTTACCCTGTATAATATTACATAAATGGACTAGAGGGTGTTTTCATTCTCAATCAATAAACACATTTGAGCAGGCATGAAGAGCGAATGGCTTTACCATGTGGAAATACACACACATATTTGGATCCTTGCCTGCAGTTAATGTTCAAGTATAAATATAACCTGCAATTCTAGTTAGAGTGTAAATATAACCTGTACAGCTGCGAATCTGTGCAGTTCTTGGCAGCGCTATTCGGTTTTTAATGTTAAAACATCACTATTAAACTTTTACAGACTTCGCTATTAATATATTTAAATTGGGGTCTTTACAACTTCTTCAGAGATCTGGATGGTGACGGCGTTTAGCTTTTAGTCGTCTGTGGCACTGTGTAAAGGGTCACGACTGTTGCCGTCTCTCTCTCAGTTGCCTAGGCGAAAGATAAGAGAAGCATGTCAGTCTCTGCTGATGTTCAGCATCTCTCTTTCTTTCTCCGCTGTCAGTAGCCTGGGGGTCTCGGTTAGCCTGGGCACGAGATAAGAGAAGTGTGTCAAAACTGTACTGCTGTTTAGCACTGTAATGCGCTGTTCCATTTTCTCTCTCTCTCCGCTTTAAACTATTTCAGGCTTGAAAGTGGGTGGATTATTTGGTGACAAGTCCCAGACCAGCATTCTCTCATTAGCACATGTGGCGTTCCATCACATGGTACCTTTGAAATGCTTCTACATCTGAGGCCACAGTTGGCATGTCAAACACCTAAGTCCCTTGGCAGAGGTGTCGGAGCCCTTGTGTTTGATTTACATCCACCGCTGTGCTCAAATCGCCACATGCTGCGTCTTTTAGTGCTGGGCATGGATAAAAAAAGTGATTACATTTAATTAATTGCATTAAATAAATTATTATTATTATTTTTTTTAAAGACTGGTATGTAATGTCATCAACATCTGTTAAAGAGCTATAAAATGTGTTTTTGCAGGCCGCTACATGTGCAGCACGGATCTATTCTTTCTCTTTCCCTCTGTTAATTTTAAGAGCTCCTTTGAGTGCATCATAAAAACAACAGCATGAAAGACTAGTGTTGCTCTCAGTGCTCTCATATCTGTCTCATAACCCTTAACACACATGCACAAACATTGATGCTTAAAACAGGCCGTTAACATTGCCTTGATGGTGGAGTGAGGTATTCCACTGATTGATTGCATTGGTAAATCA